AACTGTGCCAGCCTCACAAATAATATATTGCTATCCAACCTGCAGAAAAATGATATTAAACAAGCTTGTTAGTGTTTTATTTCTATGATGAAAGGCCCTGGAATCCTTTTTAAACCGTAATAACACAGATAAAATGGTGGACAAGATTTTGGGAAATACTTTTGGCAATTACCATAGTAGTTAACCCAAATTTAGAAATCCAACAATAAAGAAAAAAAAATTGCACGTCTGTTTTTCCATAGCCTTGTCTCTGTCTCTGTTAGAATTTCAGACTATGAAATAAACACATTCATAAATCTATGTTTGTGTTACAGAAACTGACATTGATTTAGAAGACTTTTTCTCCTCATAACATGATTGAGCTTTTAAAGTTCCTAAAATGGGAATATTATACCTACAATAGAATGTCCAACTCTTTCATTGTGAAACTGTCAGGTATATGGCAATTTAAAAGAGAAATATCCAAAGGAATAGCCTTTTGGTGATGTGTTTGATTTATAACACCTTCTTAGAATATTGTATGAGTTTGCTTTGTAACATTTTCATAGGATAAGTGCATTCATCGAGTATTGAAAAGGTATGCTTGGAGACCTTTTAACATCTAGGAGATTATATATTTGAGTGAATGAGTTGACATGAACCCAAGCACATTTACAAAGAAAATTGTGTAAGGAAAATCCCTCTGAAAGAGTAGTTCCCATACTCACAGCCCTTATGAGATCTGAACTACTTGCCACAATTTCAATCACTTCTCTCTCCAGGAGGGCGATTGTCACTAGGACTTCAAGAAAAGTACCTGGCTCTGAATTCAGCTGATTGAATCAGCATATTCTTCAAAGGGATATAGAACGATAAACTAGTTCTAGGCTACCCTTGATAAATTCACTTATCTGTGATCTTTTCTGTTTTCCAGTGTAGCAGCTGACCTTTTTCCTGGAAGACATCTTTTATAAGATCACTAGAATAACACTTGGCACACCTTGGCAGGCAATAGAAACATAAGAATGTAAACTACATCCTTTACCTAAGAATATTCCTGTTATAATGAGTACATTAAATTACAATCATTTCAGAACCTGTGGGTTGTCAGCTTTTGGTGCAAAGTCTGGTACATGATAAAAACTCAATAAATTCTTTCTTGTTTCTTTCTTTCCTCTCTTCTCCCCTTCTCTCCTTTCCTTCCTTCTTTCCTTTTGCTTTAGATTCCACAACTAAAGGTATTGATTCCAGAGCTGCTGGGCCCTCAAATTATAATTAATTTAATGTATTTATTAGTCACATCAGAAGTCATTTCAGAAAAAAACCAACAAAGAAATTCTAGTAATTTATTTCTGATTTGCTACAAAGTTATGTATTTGATTTCACTAAATTTGGAAAACTTTCAGGTCTTTTCTAAGCTGTGAATTTACATGGCCAAGAATCTGAAATCAGGCACAAATATTTTTTTAACAAGTTTTTGTCTTCAGTACTAGAACCTCATGAGAATTTGTTGTTTGGAAAACACTAGTGCTGATTCTACACTAATGAAACAAAATAGGAAACGAAGACATTTATCGTATCTAACAAGCTCAAGCCTAAATATTTTCAACTAGGATGAAAATAGACTAGACTGAAGGAAGGATGAGTATCTGTGTTAGGTTCATTCACCACTCCAGGTCTCCATTGTAGACTAACTGAGAAGGAGCCTGAGGTACATTTAACTAGAAGAAATGGCTTTTGTCTAAGTCCCTTGATAAAGGGAATAAGAAGGAACAGCTCAGTGGATATCAACACATGGTAAAAAGCTAGTAAAAAAGAGTTTCCATGGTTCTGAACATTTTATCATCCTGTGTATAGTTTTCGTTTATTTAAAATCCATTCATAAATTTCCTTTAATTTTTATAGAAGCAGGATGTGAAAGGAATGGGAAGGCAACTCATGTTAATTGAGAATCTACTGCATATAATCATTTCAAGTAAGCAACATCTCACCTTCAGAATGAATGCAGAAGCCTGTCTGCATTGCACTGGTTGCTTTGGTATTGGCACTTGGGGATGAGATCTTACTCTGTCACATACTGCTCTTCTGAAGTAATTCTTCCCCAGCTGAAAGTTTTGGGTTTCATTATCTGCATTCATTTGTCATCATTTACCAGGTACTATCGGGGCATTAGGGATGCAAAGATAAATCCATCCCTTGCCCTTGAATTCTTTAGTCACAATAAAAATTTCTTTTAAAATTATACACATACGGAAAAGAAAAGAGGCTTCCTTAGTGTCTCTTGCTGATTGATAATTTATGAGGCTTCCTAAAAACATACTTTCCAAAAGGTACCACAAGGAAAAAAACCTTGTTTTAAGATCAGGGTTCAGGCTCTTAAACACAATCCTTATAGCCTCTTCTGACAAATTAACATTCTCTTTAGGGAACAACCTCTTGGGATAAATGCTGTTTTACAAATTTCCTATTCTTCTTCTTTCTTTTGTCTAAGGTAGCATCCGAGTGTATAGGGGGCGTACATGACCTTGTGATTCTGGGGTGCCATGAGGCTCCTGGGTGCAGGCTGGCTGGATTCATTGAAATGGGCCTTTCCCTGGACATTATGAGGTTGCCCCACACAGAGGGCTGTGGCTGTGTTGTTATCTCTTGGTTTGGTCAGGAGATATTTCCTGCTAAGTCTCATCTCAGGCCTTCACTGGCCCAGCCAACTCACTGAGGTCTGGCTTCAAAGGCCTCCCTGGCTCTCATTGGGGGTCATTGTGTCTCTGTTGCCATGGCAATGCCTCTGTCAAGTTCACCAGCTGAACTCCCAGAAACCTCATGGGAGGGTGAGAGAACAGGGTAGCAATGGAAGTCCTGACCACAGCCCTCCAACTACAACATCCCCACTTCAGGTATTGTGAAAACATTGTTTAAGGCAATCTCCCAGACTGCCTAGCAGGAAATGCAGCTGACATCCATGGGCCTTTGGCTTTCTCTTTAGGTCTTAGGCCAGGAGAGCTGTGGACACACATCTAAGTACCTGCTCCTCTTGCCTTTATTTCCTTTCTATTCTCCAAATCCGTAGAGATGGAAAGGGTGAGCTTTTTCCTTCCTTTCACCTTTAGTTTTAATGTTCCCCTGGATATACTCTCTTATATAAGGTATTAGGAACCTATTCTCCTAAATTTGGGGATGGCATCCCACCGTTTAACCTTAGTGGTTAAAATGTGGAAAGATGCAAGGAGAGAGAAATGATGAACGTAATTCAGGAAGTATTTCTAGATGATTGTGCCTGTCGTGTGGGCAGTGCTTCTTAGTCATTTCTTATTAGTCACTCAACAGAATTAATAAAGGAGGCCTGATGGTTTATTTGTCCCTGTTGCAGTGGTTTTTGTTTGTTTGTTAGTATTTTGAAATGAGATACTCTTTCAGATTTCACATGTATTCTGTAAGCCCTTGCTACTCGGAGTGAGACCCATAACCAGCAGCGTTGCCAGTTTCCAATGCTCATTCAATAAACAGAATCTCAGGCCCCACCCTAGAAGTACTGAATCAGTACCTGTACTTCAGCAAGATCCTCACCTCTGCTGTATGCACGTTCAAGTTTGAAAAGCACCACTCTAGACTATCATAGCCTTACTGGAGGTTTTGGCTTCATCAACTATACCCATCATTGGCATTCAGTAAACATTTATTAATCAATTCTACATGTTAGCCAATGATTATCCTTGCCCTGTGTGCTTATGGTTCTAATCAAGGAGCTTTATAATTATGGTAGAGTAATTAAAATAAAATAGACAATTCTGAATCTAGTCTCCTTCGTCACCAGACACACCTTAATTTTTTTTGATAGATCTATTAAGATTAAATTGTAAGTTATGAAAGTGGATGTTCATTTTCTTGGAAAGCAGTCATTTAATGTATAGAGACTGGAACAAGGTAGTAATAAGATGCTCACTTGATAAATTCAGATTCATACCTGAGGCTCCTGCTTCATTAGTACTGATAGAGTTTTGCTCAGTTACAGTTTGACAAGACTCTAGGATTTCTTTTAGGGAGATGATTTTGGGGAGAAGGACAAAGTCATAGTTTTTCATTCTGCACTTTCATTTTCGGATCACAGTGTTTTAGGAGAATCTAAGCTCATTCACCAGGCTTTCAATAGAGAATCACATTAATCCTTTTAAGCTCCTTATTCTAATGATTTATTTTGTTGAAAACCATAGTGATCCTCCTTTGAATTTTAATGATTGCTGGCTATTCAGAGATTCATTGTTTTGACTTCCTGTCCTTACCTTTGTTTCCTACATGTCTGTGGGGAACACCTGTCTAATACTGGATCTGCCTCTGGTTCTCACTGGCTTACCAGAGTCACTCAAGCCTATCTCTGAGTGTTAAGCTGAAATGCTGGCTACTCATCCATGACAATAAATGTAGGATATATGTTTGCAGAGATAGGCAGATAGACAGCAGAGGGACAGATAAATGATTGAGTCATTTCCCAGTGAAAATAATATTTTGGATAAGATAGTATATTGTGATCATTAGTTAAATTAGTATTCTTAATCATGAATGTAGTATTGGGATGCAAGACCTGTGGAAAATCTAGTCAAAGGGCTTTGAATGTTGAGGGTGCTATTTTTACCCCCAATTCTGGACTATGTAACCTCCACAAGGCACTGACCCTCCATTCCCTAGTCTTTTAAATATGGCAGTGCTCTTTTTCAAGGACATAGAAGTAATCATTTTACTCAAATGCTGCAAATCCTCAGAAAGGGTTAGCAAATGGAAATAGCCATGATATGTCTCAGGTATGAGCATCAGAATTACATGTTATGTTTTCAAAATCTCAGAAATGGCTATGTCACAAGCTTGAGTTCCTCTTTTGCCCACTGTGTAACCACACAGAGAATTTCTCCATCTCTTTTTATAGGTATCGCCTAGGAACATCATAGGTTTTCAAGAATATATTATTCTAATATGAGATTTTAACAACTACACTGTATTTATGCATAATACATTTTGTGCCTTATCTTCAGGCTTCTGGACTTTGATTCCGAATATCAGGAGCTCTGGGATTGGCTGATTGACATGGAGTCCCTCGTGATGGACAGCCACGACCTGATGATGTCAGAGGAGCAGCAGCAGCATCTTTACAAGGTTAGAGCTACCATTCTTGCCTTTACCTTGCTGTGGAAGATCTGATTAGCCTGACAAGTCTCTCTCTCTCAGGATATCTTTTGCGTTCATTGTATGTATCATGGTGTCTATTAGAATTCCCTTCCCTGTCCCCAAACTCATTTCCATCCCTTGTGTGCTGACAGACTGCACCGACATCATAATTGCAAGAAAGTTCCCTTTATCACATTCTATTTGGTGTAATTCTCTAGAAGGACAAAGATTTATCTTCAAGATGAATAACAATAAATGAAACTGCATTAATAAATAGACTGAAACAAAATGAAGGATAAATGGACTGGTAACATTTAACAAAATGTGTTTTGATTGGAGCACTCACATGGATTCTACCCACCCCCTCAGATCTTTGCAGAGATAAAAGAAATTTGCCTTTCATTTGGCTTGCTGCTTCCAGGGTACAGGGCTTGTCCAATTTAATGTTTATTAGTGTTACATAGCACAGTTGTTGTCATATTAAGTCAATACATTTGAGTGTGATTTAAGAAAACTGGCTTGGAACTCACATTGATTGCAGGCAATCCATCTAATAACTATCTATGTTGTTTTCCATGTCTGTTAATTCACCTTTAGCCTAGAATGTTTTACCTATTCTGCTTAAATAGTCTTAGAAATTCTTACAAAGCAGCCATGTGATTTTGACTGAAAAAAAAATGGTTGCAAGATTCACAGTGTCTGAAAAAGCATTTGGGGAGGGTACAGGGACTTTCCACTGAAATATCAGACTGCAGTAAATCTTCCTCATTTAGGCAATTTTTATTGGAGTAATTCTGACAGTTGTCATCCTTGAATTGCTTTGAGCATATGGCATATTTCAAAGAGCAGATTGTGAATCATAAAAAATAAAATTAATAACTAACCACAGAATCAGCAACAGTATAATGACAAGAAACAACTACCCTCTAGCTTTTTGAAATTTCTTATAGAATAAGAAGTACATTCAAGGTCAAATAAAAGTTGTCTTCTTTCTTCTCCAGTTTTAATCATTTTAAGTTACCTTTCCTTAATATGTTATTTTAACTTTTGCCTCCTCTAAAGATAGATATTTATTTGTACTTTTCAAGGATCTGGTAGACTTTAATTAGTGTCCCCTGGGAATCATCTTAGTTAAGAGAAGATATAAGCTCCCCAGGGACTCAGCCATTGGTGATATTTTACTCCCTAAAGATTTTAACCAACGTTAATCAAGTTTGTTGACTATTAGTTGTTTCCTGTATGGATAGCTGTCCACATTAGCAACAAAGCTACCTAGTATATCTTCTGGCATCACATATTGTTAGAGTAACAATTTTAACCTAGTGTAACCAAAGCTAGATGATGTCACATTTCATGTCGAGATTGGAGATCACATGTAGAAAATGCCTATAAATCAATATTAATTTAGTGATACAAGAATATTTGTTTTATTTCTAAGATTTTTATCTCAGATTTTATTGCACCCATGATGCCAAATAACATTTCTTTTCTTCTTTGATGCATTTTGTATTTTACGCATAAACCAGTGCTATTCTTTGTCAAAATCACATCCATGTCATTTACATCACAATTAATAGGAAACCATTAAACAAAAAGTGCAGTCTTCTTTTGCTTGTGGTTTCCTTGTGAGTGCTCTGCCTGAGAATTCCCATTCTGGCATATTGAAGACCATTATTCCACCCACTCAGTACTTCTGGATGATAGTATTTTTCCAAACATTTTCATACTGGGGTTTTTCATTTGTGACTCATGTACTGTCATCATGTTTCTGCTTTTAGGTGCCTAACATATCTAAGTTCATGAGACTAGCACTAATTTTACATTTGGCTTATAAACAAAATTAAGGACTGCATTAGAAACCAAGGGCAAATGCTACTGTTTTGTAGAGGTTCTTTCTTTATATGAACCCCCAAATTATTCCAGAGGTTTAGAACAAACCTCCAAAGCAACCCTGAGGATATTGATGAAGGAATCATTTAGAACTTGGAGTGGCTCCTGAATTAGAAAAACTGATGGAGTAAAATTAATTTCAGATCTTTGCCAGAATCCCCAGGGATTCTCAGGTTAGGTCGACACATTCAGCATCCCATTTCTCTGTCGTAATCTGCTTTTCTAGGCATCAACTGAACCAATGCCTTGGGGGAGGAAGGTTTGGAGCCTATTGATCATAGAGACCCCTTTTCAATTGGTCCCCAGGCCTTCCTAGACTTTCAGTACCATTTGCAACTACCTTAATCATCTTTAATCTTAAAATTTGTTGGCTCTGAAAGATACTAATGCTTCATCAGCATTTTGCACCAAGGTTACCATTGACATTTGGGACAAAACAAGTTTTTATTAATTTGTGAGATTATAGGACATTCATTATTCATGTTCCTCCAGTCATCGTGACAGCTCATTTCACAGTGTTTCCATCCCATCTCAATTTATCTGCATCATCTTCATTTCTTAAAGTGCTCATGTAACAGCAAAAAAAATGCCTTACACTCCTATTCTATATGTTATTAAGCAAAGCACCTTACATAGTTAATATTGAACTAATAGTTGTTGAATTAAAACAATTAAGGATGGAGATGAAGCTCGTGATCCCTGGTACTAAGGAAAAGAATGAGGGTGAAACTTTTAAGAGAGACCTTCAGCCAAGTGATGGTAAAATCCTATAAACTGTAGACCAGGCCAGAATCATTATTCCTGTCATCATAGATTTAGAAACTTTTGTACTTCTCTCCCTGGAGGGCTCTCTCTATTTCATCCTTCATCTCCTTTCCTGGCATGGATAGTCATGCCTAGACCCCAGTTCATGTTTCATGTAGTCCTAGGTTGACCCCAGAGTTCACATTTAGAAATGTTAGGTTAGAGAAAATATAGTAAGATGGTAGTGAGTGTGAAGCTTTTGTTTGTTTGTTTGTTTTTGTTTTGTTTTTAGCATTTTCAACATTAGGTACTACCTTCCTTCGTGACTTTACATATTTATTTTATACTCTTGTCTCTGCTAGAAAATCATCTGACCTTAACTCCTAGATGTGGAACTTCCCTAGTGGGGCACCTATTGTGATGTCTTGGTTACCCAAAATCAGCAAAATACTCAGGGAACTTTTAAAGAAAAAGGATTAGATTTAACAGGCAAAGAATACAGTGATACAATCTGACATAATTAAAACCTTAATACTACAATGGGCTGTAAAGTGGCTTTTCTGTTTAAAACGTTTCTTGTTATTTTCAGATTGTTAGAAATTTAAGACCACTTTTCTTTCTCATTATTTTAAACTATAGGGTCATTAAAAAAAAACCTGATTTTTATTAAAAGCTAGCCACTCCCTTAACTGTATTTTCTTCTTTGGAGACAGTGAGACCTACAGCCAATGTCTTTTCTTCCCCTTTCTCTGTCTGGCTCAACCTCTGAATGAGGACCTTCTGTGGCTATTTTCTGATAAATATTGGCAGTATCATCAGCTCAGAAAACACAAGTGCAGTCTTTTCTTGTTTTTTCCTTCCTAAATCTGAGAATCACCTCCAAGGAGAATTTACTCCCACTCTCTCACTTTCTCTTCATTCCTCCCACCTTCCTAAGTAGGACAATTTAATTTGTCAAAAGTAACACTGTGATTTTGAAAGTTCAGCTCCTATTTGGACTAGAGTTACGAAGCCAGAATTCATAATCACAGGGAGCTGTCATTCTGCTGGTCTGCATGTGCATTAACTATTAATGGAGAAATATTTAAAACCCACTTGCCAAGGAAAAGCTTCAGTTTTTTCATTTCTGCAGATCAAGCATTATTCTTGGGCTCGGGAAGCTCAAGACACCTCCTCCCCCAGCCTATAAATTTTAGAGACTGAGTGACCCGGAAGCGTCTCCATGATGGGAGAACTAGAGCCCGAGCTGTGATTGTTGCTGCTGTCCTGCCCTCCGCAGCAGACGCAGCTTATTCTGGGCTGCTGACATGGGGTGCCCTGTCAGGGGCTTCTCACCTCACCCCTAAATGCTGCCATTCTCTGCCCACTACGGAGCACAGGTGACTGAGCCCCTTGCCCTAGTGATCCTAGATTGGTGCGGATTCCAGAGACCAAGGATTAATTTCAAGGGCCAAATTCAGAAGTTACAATCTGGCAATTATGGCTATAATTGAACAAGAGCTGTTTTCAAATAGTATGAAGTGCACTAAAACACCACATTTATAGATTTGTTCCTTGAGTGAATGGCTGTGCAGCTCCTCTTCAATCAAGTATTAGATTATATGACTTCTAAGGGGTTAAAAATAACCCTCTCACCTGAAAAATAATACAAAATTAGTACCCACTTCAACCAAGACCTTTATACTTTCAAGGAATTTATGCTGAAGATGTTATACTTAATTTAGAGGGTTAGTTACTCATATTTTCTGCTTTTATGGGAAAAATGAAAAAATGTCCTCTATCTTTTCTCCATTGGTATAAGTATTATACAAATATATTCTACATAAAAAAGGATTAAGGCTCTTCATTCTACATAATACAATGCTCACTAAGCAGGTTCATTACATTTGTATTTTGTTACTGATTTGAGGTTATTTATAAGAATTTACAGGAAAATAACAAAAATATTTTTAACATATAAATACAAATCAGAACTAGGAAAATATATGTAGGCTGGAGTCTATTTCTGTGAGAAAAGTTAATATGTAAGCACATAGACTATAAGATCTTACACAGTTACTAAAGATGATCTTAAAATTTTATCCTGGGTTTCCTGGTAGTGAAAGCAAGGAGGGAAATGTGCCCAACAGCTAAATTTACATTTTCCATGAGAAAAAAAAATTCACTTCTTTGGAAGTGAAATGAAATGAAATGAAAATATTTTCTTCAGGATTTTTTTATATAAAGAGCTAGAATGGTATAGTAGAGAAATATCTAACCACAATATTTCTTAGGAGAAAACTTCTGAACATAATACTTCTAACAAGTTAATTAATTATTTTTTTCTGACCCTATTGCCAAGTAATTTTTAGAGA